ATATTCATCTTCAACTTCTTTGAACTCAAAACTATGACGATAAACTTGAACTCTTTAGTGAAAGCAAAATGTGAAGATGTGACACTTACATAAAATAAATGGTTAAAACATTAACTAGCTTCAAAAGCCGTAAATAATAGGAGAGACCTTTGATAATGGCCGTTCACACACACACACACACACACTATATAATGTATTGTACGGCTTCTATGGTTAATTGATCATTTATTTATTCATGTTAAATGTTGCCCAAATAACTAAAAAAGCATATATTCACTTGGTATTAACAACAAGTTCTGCTTTTATTTTATTAAGGAGAAAACACACCTGGTTATTTCGGGAAAGATCCTCTCATCCTATATTTTGTAATGTTAGTAAAATGTGTCTTCTGACCGTGATGGAGGTCCTCACACAAATGAATCCCTGTTTTAGTGACAGTGTGGTCAAGTTGAAGGCTGAACTGATTTTAGGAATGGTTATTTTTTTATCTCCAAGGTGCAGGTGCAGAGGTAAGCTGTACTGTACATCTTCTACTTGAAAACTTTTTTAAATGCATGTTTTTGGCCCCTGATATACCCGTTCAGTCAGAAATTGACCTGTCTGTAATGATCTGCTGCTAACTTCTTTTCCACCATTGAAAAAAAAATGTAATCTGTAAAAGACAAGAATAGAGGAAACAAAACCCATGTTTTTTCTCAGAGTAGCGGTTTTCTTCAATCAAGCCATTTTAGTTAGTGTTAAAAATGGAAACAGTAACACAAGAACCAATACCTTGAAGGATTTATAGTTAAAGTGAGTGTATTTATTCTTAATTACCAAAAATACCATGAAAACTATTTAAACCTTACAGTTTGCACAGAATACGACACCCGTTGTCCCTAAACCTTCACATCGGACAAGGAAAAACTCCCAAAGTTCCCCCCAGTTAATGGGGAAAAATGGAAGAAACCTTGGGAAGAGCAACAGAGGAGGATCCCTCTCCCAGGACGGACAGACGTGCAATGGGTGTCGTTTAAATTCAAAAGACAATACATTTAGACAGTCAAAAAATGCTAGAAAAGACAATGAGAAGAGAAGAAATTCGAAGAAAATCTAAATGGATCCAGGTTGATGTCAACAATCCTCAGGATGCCGTCAAAAGAGTAATAAGTAGTAAGGACCTCAGCAACAGGTACAGCCACGACTCGTGATCCAGACACCTTTAAAACATGCGAGGTGAGAGAAACAAAAGAAAACTCTGGGGAGGCTGGGTTAGTAACATTCATATTTGGGACATGAGAGTATATAGGTATAGATTAAGATAAGAGAGAAGTAAGGTAGTACAAATTAAGTGAGAGTTACAATAGTCATAGGTGTGTTAAGGGTGCAATATGGTGCACCCATATTGCACCCTTAATACAATGCTGGTGCAATAATGGTGTAATATGGTGTAATAAGGGTGTATTGATGGATAATATGGGTGCAATAACACTGTAGTATGGGTGCGATAACATAGTAATATGGGTCTTATAACAGTAATATAGGTGAAATAACAGTGTAACATGGGTATTATATGGCTGTAATAATGGTTTAAAATGGGTGCAATAGGTATGCATTAATGTGTAATGTCGGTGTTTTAACAGTATTATATAGGTGTAATAATGGTGTAACATGGGTGTATTTATTGTGTAATATGGGTGTAATAAGGGTGTAATATGGGTGTATAAAGGGTGTAATATGGGTGTAATAAGTGTGTATTAATGGGTAATCGGGTGCAATAACAGTGTAATATGGGTGCAATAATAATGGGTGCAATAACAGTGTAATATGGGTGCAATAACAGTGTAATATGGGTGCAATAACAGTGTAATATGGGTGAAATAACAGTGTAATATGGGTGAAATAACAGTGTAATATGGGTGCAATAACAGTGTAATATGGGTGCATTTACAGTGTTATATGGGTGCGATATAATTGTTATGTGTGTGTAATAATAGTGTAAATTGGGTGTACTAATGTGTAATATGGATGTACAAACAGTGTGATATTGGTGCGATAACATAGTAATATAAGTGCAATAAAAGTGTAATGTGGGTGTAATAACAGTGTAATATGGGTGTAATAATAGTATAACGTGGGTGTACTTATGTGTAATATGGATGTAATAACAGTGTAATATGGGTGGGACAAAGTAGTAATATGGGTGCAATAACATAGTAATATGGGTGCAATAACATAGTAATATGGGTGCAATAAGAGTGTAATATGGGTGCAATAAGAGTGTAATATGGGTGCAATAACAGTGTAATATGGGTATTATATGGTTGTAATAACGGTTTAAAATAGGTACAATAGGTATGCATTAATGTGTAATGTCGGTGTATTAACAGTATTATATAGGTGTAATAATTGTGTAATAAAGGTGTAATATGGGTGTATTAAGGGTGTAATATGGGTGTAATAAGGGTGTAATATGGGTGTAATAATAGTATAACGTGGGTGTACTTATGTGTAATATGGATGTAATAACAGTGTAATATGGGTGGGACAAAGTAGTAATATGGGTGCAATAACATAGTAATATGGGTGCAATAACATAGTAATATGGATGTAATAACAGTGTAATATGGCTGCGACAACATAGTAATATGGGTGCAATAAAAGTGTAATATGGGTGCGATAACATAGTAATATGGGTGCAATAAAAGTGAAATATGGGTACAATAAAAGTGTAATATGGGTGCAATAAAAGTGTAATGTGAGTGTAATAACAGTGTAATATGGCTGTAATAATAGTGTAACATGGGTGTACTTATGTGTAATATGGATGTAATAACAGTGTAATGTGTGTGTAATGTAGAAAATAGCAAGCAATTAGTTTGTAATTAAGGCTTAAGTTGGACCACTACTTAGAATGAGGCACGGAGCCCATCTCTGGAGGTACTAGCTGTGGCTCGATGTAGCCGCCTCCTGAGGTGAAGTCGTCTCTTCCACCATTTCTTTTTCGGCTTTTTGGGAAGCATCTGGAAAAAAAAGTATGTATTATATTTTTGCTTTCTGATTTAAATGAATTGAATAGCAATCTGAATACAGCTAGCCAGTGAAAGTGTGGTCCAACATTTTGGTTTGTCATCAAACTCACAGAGCACTATCGGCTGTGCTTTTAAAAACTGTAAAGTGGAAAGACAGATGTCATCTTAAGGAAGATATCAGGGTGTTTAAACCCTAACCGAGGTGTTGGAAAAAAAATGTTGAAGGCAGGAAAACAATGGTGTGCAGTGCTCCTGCTTATAATAGCATCAGATAAGAACACCACTTATTTTCTTCTACTCCAAGAGTTAGATCATGTATGTGTTTGACAGAGCTAGAACTGCAAGACTATCTAAGTTTAGGATACATTCTGGAAGTAGGTGGAACCAGCCACAACCTCAAAAACCTATACAGTATCAGTACATTTAAAAATCACAAATTAAAACTTCTCACACCCAAGTCAACGCTACAGAGTTATAACGGTTGGTGTAAAATCCTGGTTAAATTGGAGAATTACGCCATCTGGTGTTACAAACGTGTGCCTGCATTACTGTAGCTTTGTTACCGCAATGGATTGTGGGAGATTCTCATACCGCGTGAGGATCTCTTGAGAGTTAGGTGCTATTGTATTATGTCGGTAAACAAAATGTATGTTATTATTTTATTAGGACAATAACGTTCTGTTGTGTTTGTTTAGTTTAATGTTAGTCGTTTAATGCTCACAGCAACATGTTTTTTGTGTGATTGGCTATTTGTGTTATATGATTTATTAATGTGATCATCAATAGCTAATTTGAGCTAATAGGCTAACGTGAGCGTGGTGCTATCTCTCCAACAGAACGCAGCTCACGTGTCCATTTTATGTTGTCCATTGAAATGCAGGTATGTGAGTTTTGTACACCAGTTTGTTTATGTTTAATGTTTCACATTGTTTATACTACCACTATACGATCATTGTTGTGTTGTTGATTATTGGACACTTATTTTGTAAAGGAGATTTTCATACCGCGTGAGGATCTCTTCAGAAACGCAGCTCACGTGTCCATTTTATGTTGTCCATTGAAATGCAGGTATGGTAATAAACTGAAGTAATCACCAGCTCTGAGTGGTCTGTTGCCGAGGGGACACTACACCGGGGTTACAAGGCAGGAAAACAATTGTGTCCTCCTGCTTATAATAGCATCAGATAAGAACACCACTTATTTTCTTCTACTCCAAGAGTTAGATGAAAATATTTATTTTACACTCATGTCTGTGTTTGACAAGAGTTAGAACTGCAAGACTAACGCTTCTGCCCATTCACTTTGAATGGGGTGACGTCACGTTTCACCGAACTGCATTGTGGGAGCGAAGCGTAGCTTCAGAAGCGTTGCTCGCTGCAAAAGTTGAGCAATGTTCAACTTTTGAAGCTCCGGCGGAAGCGTCAGCCAATCGAATCATATGCCAGTACAAGCTCTAGCCAATCAAACCGCGTGCTTGTGTGTCCGGGGCGGGAGATTCATGTGATTGGTTGTTGGTCGAGTTTCAGCCCCCCCCCCCGCCAGCAAGCTTAAACGCACGCCGCCGTGTGGACGGGCCGTACATTCTGGAAGTAGGTGGAACCAGCCACAACCTCAAAAACCTATACAGTATCAGTACATTTAAAAATCACAAATCAAAACTTCTCACACCCAAGTCATCGCTCCTGTTTCCGAAGAAATTGTTCCTGTAATTCTTATAATGTCTTTAGATAAAAAAGCCCTGGTTTTCAAAAGGGGGTAAGTAGGATAAAACCGCTAGCCTAGCTTTTAACAGCTCTTTTTAAAGAGGGAATTTGTTTGACATCTTAGGAGATACTCTTATTTGCATTTTCCCCAAGACTTCAATACTTATGCCTGTTTTTGACTGAGCTAAAACTGCAACATTAGCTTAGCATAAAGTCTGTAGCTGTTTACACCTACTCATGTTCAAACTAATATAATGTCCTAAAATGTGAATTGAAAGTAGAGCAGTCATACCTGCAGCTGCCTTTTCTCTCTGATTAGCCGCTGGATCTCCTCCTCCAGTGCGCTGGTCCTACGCATGCACTCTGCTTCTTTTTGGAGCAGCAACCTCTCCAGTTCGTTCCTGCTCACCATCTCTGCCACTCTTCTTTGACAGCTGTTCTCCTTCTCCGTCAGCTCCGTCTGGTAGGTTTCTTCCAGGGCATCGTGTTTACTCTCAACGCTCTTCTGGCTCTCGCAAAGCTCTGACCGGTTTCGGCTCAGCAGGTTCAAGGTTTGCCTGTGACTGTCTGCGGATGCTCTCATTTTATCAATCAAGCTGGAGATGAGACCTCCTTTTGATTCAATATTCTCCTCCAGCTGTTTAAATCTCCCCTGCCACGCTTCCTTCGATTCCCTTAATGTTGTGGCAGCTTCCTCCTCTGTGCCCCGGATCACCTCTCTCCAGTGATCCACAGTGGCAGAAATCCTTGCAGAACTCTCCTGTATCTGAATGCTGAAACTTTCTTGAAGAGATGTGATTTCTCTCTCTGCTTGTCTTCTGCTATCCAAGAGCTCCTCCTTCAGATGGTCGATGTTTGAATGAGCATCCGACAGCTCCATCTTTAAGCTTGTCTTATCTTTTTCAAAGTCCTCCTCCATCTCATTTATCTTGGCCGCCATCTCCTCCTTCTCCATCTTGGCCTGGGTTTGAAGGCCCATTAGATCCTTGAAGGCTTCAGAAGTGCTGTCATCATTCATATTCAGCTTAGCATTTTCTTCCTTCTGGTGGTCGATGTGTGACTGAGCATCCGACAGCTCCGTCCTTGAGCTTGTCTTTTCTTTTTTTAAGTCCTCTTCAATCTCATTTATCTTGGACTCCATCTCCTCCTTCTCTGTCTTGGCTTGGGTCTGAAGGCCCAACAGCTCCTCGAGGGATTCAGAGGTGCTGTCCTCCTTCATCGTCAGCTTAGCATTTTCTTCGTTCAGGTGGTCAATGTGTGACTGAGCATCCGACAGCTCTGTCCCTAAGCTACTGATTTCTCCAAGCCGTTGGCAGCTCAGCTCTGACCATGTTGTCTTCTCTTTATTAAAGTCCTCCTCCATCTCATTTAACTTTGCCACCATCTCCTCCTTCTCCATCTTGGCCTGGGTCTGAAGGCCCATTAGCTCCTCGAGGGCTTCAGAAGTGCCATCATCCTTCATCGTCAGCTTGGCATTTTCTTCCTTCAGGTGGTCAATGTGTGACTGAGCAACCGACAGCTCCGTCCCTAAGCTACTAATTTCTTCCAGCCGTTGGCAGCTCAGATCTGACCATGTTGTCTTCTCTTTATTAAAGTCCTCCTCCATCTCATTTATCTTGGCCTCCATCTCCTCCTTCTCCTCATTGGCTTGGGTCTGAAGGTCCATCAGTTCCTTGAAGGCTTCAGAGGTGCTGTCATCCTTCATCGTCAGCTTAGCATTTTCTTCCTTCAGGTGGTCAATGTGTGACTGAGCATCCGACAGCTCTGTCCCTAAGCTACTAATTTCTTCCAGCCGTTGGCAGCTCAGATCTGACCATGTTGTCTTCTCTTTATTAAAGTCCTCCTCCATCTCATTTATCTTGGCCTCCATCTCCTCCTTCTCCTCATTGGCCTGGGTCTGAAGGTCCATCAGTTCCTCGAAGGCTTCAGAGGTGCTGTCATCCTTGATCGTCAGCTTGACATTTTCTTCCTTCAGGTGGTCAATGTGTGACTGAGCATCCGACAGCTCCGTCCCTAAGCTACTAATTTCTTCCAGCCGTTGGCAGCTCAGATCTGACCATGTTGTCTTCTCTTTCTTAAAGTCCTCCTCCATCTCATTTATCTTGGCCTCCATCTCCTCCTTCTCCATCTTGGCCTGGGTCTGAAGGCCCATTAGCTCCTTGAGGTGTTCAGAGGTGCTGTCATCCTTGATCGTCAGCTTGGCATTTTCTTCCTTCAGGTGGTCGATGTGTGACTGAGCATCCGACAGCTCCATCCTTAAGCTTGTCTTCTCCTTTTTAAAGTCCTCCTCAATATCATTTATCTTGGCCTCCATCTCTTCTTTCTCCATCTTGGCCTGGGTTTGAAGGCCCTTTAGCTCCTTGAAGGCTTCAGAGGTGCTGTCATCCTTGATCGTCAGCTTGGCATTTTCTTCCTTCAGGTGGTCAATGTGTGACTGAGCATCTGACAGCTCTGTCCCTAAGCTACTAATTTCTTCAAGCCGTTGGCAGCTCAGATCTGACCATGTTGTCTTCTCTTTCTTAAAGTCCTCCTCCATCTCATTTATCTTGGCCTCCATCTCCTCCTTCTCCTCATTGGCTTGGGTCTGAAGGTCCATCAGTTCCTCGAAGGCTTCAGAGGTGCTGTCATCCTTGATCGTCAGCTTGGCATTTTCTTCCTTCAGGTGGTCAATGTGTGACTGAGCATCGGACAGCTCTGTCCCTAAGCTACTAATTTCTTCCAGCCGTTGGCAGCTCAGATCCGACCATGTTGTCTTCTCTTTATTAAAGTCCTCCTCCATCTGATTTATCTTGGCCTCCATCTCCTCCTTCTCCATCTTGGCCTGGGTCTGAAGGCCCATTAGCTCCTTGAGGTCTTCAGAGGTGCTGTCATCCTTGATCGTCAGCTTGGCATTTTCTTCCTTCAGGTGGTCGATGTGTGACTGAGCATCCGACAGCTCCATCCTTAAGCTTGTCTTCTCCTTTTTAAAGTCCTCCTCAATATCACTTATCTTGGCCTCCATCTCTTCTTTCTCCATCTTGGCCTGGGTTTGAAGGCCCTTTAGCTCCTCGAAGGCTTCAGAGGTGCTGTCATCCTTGATCGTCAGCTTGGCATTTTCTTCCTTCAGGTGGTCAATGTGTGACTGAGCATCCGACAGCTCTGTCCCTAAGCTACTAATTTCTTCAAGCCGTTGGCAGCTCAGATCCGACCATGTTGTCTTCTCTTTATTAAAGTCCTCCTCCATCTGATTTATCTTGGCCTCCATCTCCTCCTTCTCCATCTTGGCCTGGGTCTGAAGGCCCATTAGCTCCTTGAGGTCTTCAGAGGTGCTGTCATCCTTCATCGTCAGCTTAGCATTTTCTTCCTTCAGGTGGTCAATGTGTGACTGAGCATCCAACAGCTCCGTCCCTAAGCTACTAATTTCTTCCAGCCGTTGGCAGCTCAGATCCGACCAAGTTGTTTTCTCTTTATTAAAGTCCTCCTCCATCTGATTCACCTTGGCCTCCATCTCCGTCTTGGCCAGGGTCTGAAGACCCATTAGCTCTTTGAAGGCTTCAGAAGTGCTGTCATCCTTCATCGTCAGCTTAGCATTTTCTTCCTTCAGGTGGTCAATGTGTGACTGAGCATCCAACAGCTCCGTCCCTAAGCTACTAATTTCTTCAAGCCGTTGGCAGCTCAGATCCGACCATGTTGTCTTCTCTTTATTAAAGTCCTCCTCCATCTGATTTATCTTGGCCTCCATCTCCTCCTTCTCCAACCTGGCCTGGGTCTGAAGGCCCATTAGCTCTTCGAGGGCTTTAGAGGTGCTGACTTGCTTCAGTGCCAGGCTCCGCTTCTTGAGCTTCTCCTCAGCGGAGAGAAGAACTTGATCCAGAGGCTGCAGCAAGGATTTAGGAGACATGGCAAGATGTTTTCCATTGTTGTGACCCTGCACAACATCTGTATGTGCAGATCCAAACATCGGCGCACGCCACGAGCCAAAAAAGGGCTGAGAGCCTTGCTGTTTGGGAAAATTAACAATATGATCAGCAATAAATTGACATAATTTAAGCCAAGAAACATGTGCGCAGACTTTTAACATAATATTATATAACATTCACTTATAATATGTTCAAGACCCTTTAACGAGCACTTTATCTGGGATTCACTTCATTGTTCAGAACATGGTAGGACAAAAACCAAAAGACCAAAAGAAAATTATAATTCTATGTTGTGTCCTTTTACAGATGTATTAATTTGCTCTTTAAAAGATAGCGGATGGTCTACCTTACACTGAAGTATTTATATGAAATTACCTGCTTAAGATTTTCTTTTTTGATAACAATAAGGACTTACTGTAATGAGTCAGATGGGGAGCCAAAAACAATGTCCTTTGTTTTCTTTGTGTTAATCTTAAAACCATATTATCATTCAACCACTTTGTTAACACCATGTTAGTGCAGCCCAGCGTTGTCTGTATGTATTGGAGATATCAACACTGTATTATCAGATTATTCAAGAAATTATTACTTTGGTGTGTCTGTAAAATAGTTGTCCGTTTGTCCGTGTGTGTTAGTTTACAGCTAATTTCTATCTGCAGTCCTTAATAACATAAGTGTATTGATTTACAGCTAAAAAGGTTACTGTAGATTACGTTTTTTCAACAACAACAGTAGCAGTGGTAGTATGAATTGTAGTTGAAATATAGCCAGTGATGCATGATGTCAAATTTTGTGGACAGAAGATTAATCGTAATTTCCTCCCAATATAAAACAATACTTTGACAACTTCCTCCTTCCTTCCTTAGTTGTTAATTGATGTCACATTTTCTTACCTGCAAGAGTCGCTCTCCATAGAAGGATTGGAAAGATATGAAAGAGTGACTGTGTCTGACTGCCGTTCTGTCGGCCATCTCGGTTTTGAGATATTTATCCGTGAAAGGGTCAATATTAGAAGAGAATAAATATCGTATTCAGTAACCCAATGGGTTCCCAATTTTCCAGAAATTGGAGATAACAACTATGAGAGCAGGAATTTCAATATTTGTTTCTGTAAATAAACTCAAATGCTGAAACAATTCAGCTCTCAACACAGACAGCGAGTAGACACTTAAGGCTGACTAAAAAACTAAAAATCGTTCCTCTTGTATTAGAATCTCACTTTTCACCTTGTCTGTCAAAAGATATCTTAACAACTGTTGCTTCCTATGTCTCCCAGTGTTCCTATGCCTTCTGAGACCAAAGCCAGGTGCCCTCTGTGACACTCTATGTTCTAGAACAGGTTCTAGAATCCCTGTAACTGAATTATGCAAATGAGGGAATGCCTGTGTTCCGTTAAACACTAGACAGCTGATAGTGATCAAGAGTTCCAAATCACTGACTACAAACTCTGATATTCAAAAAACTCAAAGCTAGCATTGCATTTATCGATTCATTCAAGTTCTGATTGAAAAAGCAACAAGGAAATCAAGAAACTGTGATCACTACTGTGTGAACTCTGATTCAACCATAATTCACTAATCCGATAGTCTTCACACTGTACCTTGAACATTTATATTTAATTGAAAATGCTATTTCTTGCACACTTGATGTGAATTATATTCTACGATTAAATGTTAAGCTGTAAATTGGCGCTTCATAGTGTATATTTGACCGATAGTCTACAGATATATATATCTTTCACTGTCAATATGCATATATTTGACTTTGAGTTACATTTTATGTTGTATTTTGAAAAGTGTATTATTTACTGTTTATGTTTGTTTATTTTATACTCTTTTCATTTACACATTATGTGCAATACCTGTGTTGTTAGCCAAGAGGCAATTGTTCATCTGTAGTCCCTGGACAGATGTTTTAAGTCACGCTAAATACAAATTAAATGTAAAGGTCCCATGTCATGCTTTTCCGGTTATTACCCGTCCCCTTGTGTGTTATGAAGGTTTGTATGCATGTAAACGGTCTGCAAAGTCACAAACCCTCAAAGTACACCCTGTAGCGAGTAAAATTCTAACACAGAAAATACCTGTCTATGCTGCCCCTGAACGCCTCGTTGGAGATTTCTCTTTTTTCATTGTTTTCTTACTGGGTACAGTGACGTGCCCATACCCAAATGGACCAATCCGTGGAGCCGTTACGTTACTTCCGCGGAGCCGTTACGTCATGTGGGGGGGACATTTTTAAGGGGGGGTGTGGGGGCGAAAAAAAATATAGATTTCCTGTATTCTGGTGCATTTTAACAGGTGGTTTGATACTTTTATGTGGCTATACTAGCATGAGGAAAATGATGGGTACATTTTGTAATTTCATCCAGTAGTAAAGAAAGGAAACATATTTGATTATTAATTCAGAGCCGTCTTTGAATTAATAAAAAGCAGTTTACATTTTTTGTACATTTATATACAACAATAAATATTTGTGAGTGCATTGAGAGATATTGTTGTGGAGAGTCATTTATATATAAATCGCAAAATACATTTGTGAATCCTTCTGTGAGCATTTATTAATATTGAGACTGATCTGACTCCATACGGATGTTAAGTTCACCTAGGAATGGTATCATTGACTTAAATGTTCAAATAAATGTTGCTCTTCTGTCTATATTGGTCATATGATGCCCCTTGACTGAAATGTTTCCTGTTCAATATCCCCACTGATTTCCTTAAAATCCTGGGATGAGAGTCCACATCACAATTTACTCTCAACTGTCATTTCCCTTTCATCACTCACCTCAGCAATGGACCTCTCTCCACTGTCCCTGTATTCTGCCTCTGACTCACTCTCAAGTGCCTAGATGTCAAGAGAGGTGGTGAAGTGATAATTATTTATTGAGCAGTATACTCTTTCACATTGAACAAGTCATACTGAATGTAAATACAACTGACTCTAAAGTAAGTCCCAGTCTGTGACATTGGACATTTTAAAGACTCAAAGTCCCAAGCAGTAGGTAGAATATTAGCTAGTCTATGTAATGTGCACAGAAAATAAATAGTTAACTGAATACTGGGATGGAAATAGCCTATAAGCACTCAGTAAAACATAAACACACACAAAAAGCTTCTGAATGATAAGAAGTATAATTAAAACATAATGCACATTACCATTTTGAGAGAGAGTACCTAAGTTAAAGAACTCAGAAAATAATCTCTTATTGAACTGAGGCTCCAGTAAAACACACTGACTGCGTCTCTACATGGACATCAGTAAGCCGTTTATGAGTATTATCCCGGTTATGATCATATTGGGGATATGGTGTTTACATGAGCACAGAGAGATCGGGTGATTCATGTTCCCTGTTTACATGATAAATACTAGTAACCTGGCATTTCGATGCCTTTTCTCATCTAAACTATTCAGTATTTGTATCTCTCTATCATGACATAAAGACGAAACTCCTCTCCAGAAGTGAGACGCCGCCATCACTGTTAACTGATTAACTGCTACCAGCTGATGACTTACTTTCCTCTTCTTTGAAAAAAATGTTCTTATGTCCATGTTGTCTGGGGGAGAAAACATATCAAACCAAGAGATCGTCAGCTTTGATTTTCGCTGTATTAACCATTTCCTGAACATTTGGTGTGTGTGCCTTACCTCCGCTACCGGCATCGCTTCATACAACAGATCTGAGCTGTCCAACTATGACAACACTCCTTGAACATGCGCGCGCTATGTGAGAATCTGCCTTGTACAAAGTAGCAGTGAAAACATGGTACGGAGTTTCATTGATTTGGGCATTCTCTCAATATGCAAGTGGAATGGATTTCATTTGATAGTGAAGCACTGACACAGCGCTCTACAAAGTGCGGCGAGTGGATAGACCGATTCACGGACTTTCCGCATAGTAAAAGTGGGGGGGGTCTAAACTAATCATTTGAAAAAGTGGGGGGGACTTGTCCCACCCTCATATAATGGCTGCGACGCCCATGCGTTACGTTAAGTCCGTGGATTGGTCCTAATTGACCAATCCGCGGACTTCCTCACACTCACACACTCAATCTTTTCTCAGCTGCAGCTCCGCCGATTTCTCCTCCCTGAGACGGCGGGACGCGGCAAGGCTGTGAGTCGGTGTGTGAGCACACACACAAACTCCCAGCCAGGCTGCGGGTGTGTGTGTGTTCGGGCTGGATTTCGCTGTGTCTCGCTGTCTCGCAGACGGCCACTGGGCTCATAGGGAGGGGGGGCAGGAGCTCCAACAAGCCGTTTAGGACAGAGAGTGAATCTATACAGAGATGCTGTATGAGAAACCAATGCGATTTTGGAAAATTGCACAATATAAATCTATTTTAGTATATCTCAATGGAATTATGATCAGTAGAAATGGCCATGACATGGGACCTTTAAAATAACAAGTAAATACAATCAGTAAAAACATGCAACATACACAGTAAAAACAAACATATTACATAGCAAGAAGATAGCAGCAAGTTAAGGCATAGGCATTACAGCCAGTGTGTTGTAAAGTGCAGTAGATTATTGCCAGTTAAACAGGACTGTAATTTGTAACGAAGTATTTTTACAATGGTATTGTACTTCTATAGTTAATAAAGTATCTTTAATACTTCACCCACCACTGATAGTGCACACTGCATAATCACTCCAAGCATAGGAGGACATTACAATTAAAGACTACAGTTAAAACATATTTGTGTTTTTCTTAAACATAATAATAAATGAACTGATGCTTTGGCACCTCCTTCAACACTGTGATTAAATATCATTGTTGGACATTACACAAACACTCCATGAAACTGCACATCAGACTGAAGCAGCTGAGAAAAGCAATATTATTTATTCCATGTATGTATTATTCCAGTAAAATAGTAGATGTACTGTATCATCTTTATTATTCATCTGTGTATTCTTGGCAATAAAAACATATTGTTAAATCAAAAGAAAGTCCCTCCTGATTGAAGTAATGTTACAGCGTCTCCAGCGCTTTCGAACGGCAATGGCCGCGATTGTCTCCTCCTGATTGGTGGAGTTGGCCCAATAGCCGTAGCGCCACTGTCCTGACGTCAGGACAGTGTTCAAATCTGGATCAGTTTTTATCAGATCC